CCGGTAGCCCTGAAGGAAGGGTGCTTGGCGCTCCACCTGGGGACCCAAGGGGAGGGTGGGATGGGGGGATGCTCAGCACTAGGAGCCCTGTCCTGGCAGCAGTGTACAGCACTCACAGTCCAGGAAAGGCGGACGGCGCCCAGCGGCAGCACCACCGGTTCCTGCAGGTGCACAGCCACCTGTGCCAGCTCACGCTGCACCTGCTCAGGGTCCAGCCCTTGCTGCGTGGGGCTGGTGTCTGCTGGAAATGTGACAAGGTGGAGGGTCCATGGATGCCTCCACTGGTGTCACCAGGTGGGGAGGCCATGGTGACACCATGGGAAACTCCCTTGGCATCATTGCCAGGGATGAACCCAAAGGTTTTGGGTGCACGAGCACCTCCATTGGTGTCACCAACTGGGGATGGACCCAAGGGTGGTGGGCTCATGAACACCCACTGATGTCACCACTGTGTCTCACCTTGGGTACGCACAGGCTCTGAGACTCCACTTGGGTCGCTGAGCCCATAGGCATTGACCGCCCGCACCAAGAAGAGGTAGACAGTGTCGGGGACAAGGTCGCTCACCGTGTGGGTCTCACCCTCCACATCAGCTGCCACCGTCTGCCATGGGCCACCCACCGCCTGGCTGCCAGGGGACAGGGGTGTCCCGAGACAGGGTGGTACTGGGCCACCACATCACCCCTGCAGCTAGAGAAAATGCTTGTGTAATACCTGAAAGCCTCCACTATGTACGAGGTGACATCAGTGGCACCACTGTCCTCATTCCCTTTCCAGCTCAGGGTGACACTGCTTTTGGTGACGTTGGTGACCACAGGGGTGGAGGGTGGCCTAGGGAGGATACCAGGTGCAGGGGAAGGCAGGGACAGGTTGGATTCATCACCTGCAGGGAGACACCAGGAAGTCTGCAGTGGCTTCATCCCTGGTACCAGGGTGTCCCCACTGCAGTGAAATCCCCATGACCCACCTTGCACCTCCAATGAGCTGCCCCAGCGTGTCTCACCCATGGGACTGGTAGCCACACACTCGTAGAGCCCAGAGTCTCTCACCTGTGGGGGGGAAGAGCTCCTGCCCCATCACCCTGAGCACCGTCACCTCAGCACCCAGCACCCTGAGCCCCAACAACCTGAGCCCCAACACCCCTTGCACCCACCACCCCGAGCCCCACCACTTCTTGCACCCACCACCCTGAGCCCCAACACCGTTTATACCCACCACTCTGAGCACCCACCACTTCAGAACCCACTACCCTGAGTTCCACCCCTCCTTGTACCCACCACCCTGAGCTGCAGAACCCTGAGCCCGATCATCCCTTGTACCTACCACCCTGAGCCTCACCACCCCTTGTACCCACCACTCTGAGTCCCATCACCCTTTGTACCCATTGCCCTTTTAACTCATGACCCTGAGCCCCAATACCCCTTGTACCCAATAGCCGTTGTAGCCACCAGTCTTTTCACCCACCACCCTTCTCATCCATATCCCTTTGCACCCACCCCCCTCACACCCACTGCCCACTCCCCTCCCTGCGGTGTCCCCATGGGTGACCCCGCGGGGGCCGGCTCACCCGGAGGCCGGTGATCTGCAGGGTGCCATTCTCCAGCAGACTGGCACGGGGCTGGGTACCCACCAGGGCACTGCCATCCTTCAGCCAATCCACACTGCCCTGGGGGTCACTGCCTCCCACCCCGCAGGGCAGCCGTGCC